TGGCCTGATGAGTGGTGTGAATCAACCTTGATCCCTATCCATAAAAAAGGATCACTAACCATATGCAGCAATTACAGAACCGTTGCCCTTATCCCTCATGCAAGCAAAATCCTGCTACATATAATCAATGAACGGCTAAAGAACTTTCTACTTCCAGAGATAGCCGAAGAACAATGTGGATTTGTACCAGGAAAGGGAACGCGTGAGCAAATACTCAACACCAGACAGATAGTAGAAAAAGCGAGAGAACATAACATACCAATGTTGCTCTGTTTTGTAGATTACACAAAGGCTTTTGATTCAGTAAAATGGGATCCTCTCTGGAGTATAATGGAAAATATGGGAGTACCTAACCACCTAGTTAACCTAATAAGAAATCTGTATAATAAAAACTCAGCCAAAGTTAAAGTACATGGAATATATTCAAATGCATTCAAAACAGAGAAAGGAACTAGACAAGGTTGCATACTATCACCATTATTATACAACATATATTCTGAATATATAATGAGAAAAGTACTAGATGAATGGGATGGAGGAATCACTATAGGAGGCAGAAAAATCAGTAACCTGCGATACGCAGATGACACACTTATACTAGCAGCGAATGAAGTCGAAATGATTACCATCATCGAACGGCTAAGCCGAATAAGTGAAGAATTCGGACTTCAAATCAACACCAGAAAAACAAAAATAATGATTGTAGACAGAGCAAATAATAATCTGCCGCATATACGCCAAATAGGGATTTTCGAAGTAGTCGACAGATTTGTATACTTGGGCTCTCTGATAACCAACAATGGTGATTGTTCCTCAGAAATCAAACGTAGACTAGGAATGGCCCGAACCGCAACTGCTAAATTAATTAAAATATGGAAAGACCGAACAATAACAAGGAATACTAAGCTTAGGTTGGTCAATGCCCTTATTTTTCCCATTGCTACATATGCAGCTGAAACATGGACTCTCAAAAAAATCGATAGGAGTAAGATCGAAGCCTTCGAAATGTGGGTATATAGAAGAATTCTACGCGTGTCCTGGACAGAACATAGAACCAACCTGTCAATTCTGGAAGAGCTTCATATAAAAGACAGGCTACTAAAAAAAGTAAACCAAGCATACCTAACTTACTTCGGCCACATAGCTAGAAGAACGGGCACCATGGAACTATTGGTAGTAGAAGGTAAGGTAGAAGGCCGAAGACCAAGAGGAAGATCTCCAATACGATGGGTGGACCAAATGAAGAGTTTGGTGGGAAAATCCCTACATGAAGCCGTCCATATGGCACAAGATCGCAGTCAATGGAGACAGCAGACTAATAATATTTAGGGTGTCACTACGCCCTGACAAGGGCTAAAGGATTGAGGAGGAGGAAGACAAAGAAGATACAACCGTGACAAGATAGGTAATGGTTATAAATACAATATCAATCGAGAATCGAGATAACATAATATATTGAAGTCACAGATCAAAAATCAATAAACTCTTTAAAAAGTGGTAAAGCTGACGGTCCTGATCTGATCCCATGTGAATTCGAAAAATGTTACCATCGACATACATTTGTATACTGAAAAAAACAAAATCAAAAGAATGGATCGACCACCGAACAATAAGTATCATATCCACACACTCTTAAAATCCTCCTAAAACTAATTCACTCCAGGCTGTACACGACACAAGAATTAGATAAGTGTATTGGATAGTTAGAGAAAATTAAATTGCCCTAAACGTACTTAAAGATGTTTGAAGGTTAATTAGAACCTCTATGTTGCTTTATAGATTAAAATAAAATTTTTGATAAGGTTTTCTACGATCAGTTCAAGAAAATTCTTACAAAGACAAATCTTGATCAGGGGCATATAGGATTAATTTCAACTTTATGTTATAACCAGATGGCCGTAGTAAAAATTACAATATAAACATCTAGCGAAAAATAAATACATGGGAAGTGAGACAAGGATGTATATTGTCGCCACTACTTTTTAATGCATATTCGGAAAAATTATAAAAAAAATTCAAAAAAAGAATGAAAAATACTAATATTTACCGACAACTTAAATAATCTGAAGTGATTAATGAGCAAAATATCAGAATAAACGGAGGAGTAGTAGATATAAGAAAAATATGTAAAAACAACTATCAAAGAAAGAAAGCTGCCATACCTGGGGCATATAACGCGAGGTAAAAATACCACATCCTACGACTTATCGTGTACGCAAAACTAGTGTAAAAAAGAAATCAGGAGAAATCCGTTTCTGGCTCAGAAATTTGAGAAAGTGGTTTGGAAGCAGTTCGGGTCAACTATATAAGTCAACTTGTTGCTAATGTTAACCATGCCAATCTTCGCAACAAAATAGTACCTGAAGAAGAAAAGTAACGGACTTGCTAATGTAAATATTCACTTCCTAATAAAGGGAAGAGGAATACCATCAGTTTTTGATGGTAAATAACATCAAGGAAAGCTGGTAAATCTAAAAATAACATAGAGGAAAGTAACAAACACTAACATATCAAAAAACAATACCCTATGGTTTACAGAGAAAGTGAGCAAAAACTGTGAAGAAAAGAATAAAATGTTTTTACAATATGGAACACAATAAATACAACAGACATACTTCTTCTTCTTATGGTGTCCTATTCAAGTAGTGGATGTTGACGACAATTCTGGCATACTCCTCTCGATCTTGTGTGGCTTATATTAATCCCTTATGTTTTTAAGCCATGAGTATTTCTTTCTTCCGATGCCCCGTTTTCCTTCTATCTTCCCTTCCATAAGAGCATTAAGAACTGGTACTTGGAATTTCCAAATATATGACCCAGATATGCAGTTTTTCTTCTTTTTATTATTGGCAGCAATTCACGTTCTTTGCCCATTCGATTTAGTACTTCGATATTTGTTGAGTGATCTGTCCAGGAACAGGCATACAACAACTATAAATGAATGAGAAATAAAATACTTTGAATAAATAATGAGAATACTTTGGTCACACAAATATGAGGGAAATATTGACAGAGCTTCTCAAAACAGATAGAACATTATTTCTACGGAACCCAAAAAGAAATATGAAAAGTGATCAGAGGACAAAGAAAAGAGATAAACGAACTAATAAAAACGAAAACACATTCTGAAGGAAACATGAGCAGACTACTTTCAATCCCTATTTGTTAAAGGTGACGATAATGAACCACCAACACCAGTGGTGACGACAAACGAAGAAATAAATATTGAGGAGGAAAGGGTAAAGGAAGTATTAGGGAAATTAAAAAATATAAAATCACGAATAGAGGACAGAATACTGCTTACCGGTCCTCCTAAAGTACGAAGAACAAGATCTGGCCAAACAACTGTTTATTCAAACTAATTCAAAAAATAAAAGACGAAAACAGAATACCACAAGAATGAAAGTAAAGCATCCTAATACCTCTCTTTAAAAAGGGAGACAAATCGAACCCGGAGAATTACGGAGGAATTAATTTATTTAACATAACACTAAAATTAACAACACGACAAATTAACGGACGTTATCTACTTATTGTAGGCAAGAAAGATGGCTCTAGAAATAATCAAAACAATCAAAAATATCTACTAGAAAAATGTAAAAAAGTAAAAGTAAAAGAAGAACTAACTGACCAAATTGAAGCAACAGAGGAATTCCTTGAGTCCTATATTGTTCATTCTGATCATGGATTAAATAATGAAAAAGTGAGAACAAAAAAGGTTACCAAATGAGAGAAAAACAACTTAAAATAATCTGCTATGCAGACGACACAATACTAATTTCTCAGAGTGAAGATGATTTGTAGCATCTGCTGCACCAATTTAATATAAACGCCAGAAAATTAAACATGTTAATTTCCCAAAAAAAAAAAAAAACAAAATGAATGGTTATAACAGCAAATTTATGTACTAAAACCTAAATTAGAGCTGAAGGTTTAGATAATAAAACAAGTGATCGAGTTTAAATATCTAGGCATCACTTTATCTAGCTACGGAAGCTCGAAACAGAAGTGGAAGATCAAGTGAATAGAGCAAACCGAACTAAAGGCTACTTGAATGAAACAATATGGAGAAATAAACATTTTGGGAAAGAAATAAAAGACAGAATTTACAAAACACGACCTGACGCAGAGAGAACAACAAAAAGAATGCTAGACAAAGGGATATAAAAACCCTTAGAAAATTGAGGGTAAGACACTAAGGGACAGAGTTAAGAGTACAGATAAACGACAAATATGCAAGATCGAGAACATCAAGGACTCTGTAAAGAATAGAAGAGTAGAATTAAATGATCAAATTATTTTAACACAAATGACAACAATTACAGTAGTACAGACGGCGTAAGACGGTTCAGCAATGGGAAAACGATCAGTGACAGGAGCACGAAAACGATAAAATGACAATTTACTGCGGGTACATTGAAAAACAGACAGTCATGTCTACACATAAAGAAGACGAAGATGTTATAGTAAATAATACTAATGTAATTTTGTTTTGTTTGCTTTGTTTGATAACAAAGAGCACAAATTTGCAAAGAAGAGAGGAGTGCTATGTCCAGCATTGGACGTGATAAATGAAGACTGGATGATGGTGATGATGAATTTTGTTTATATCTGTAGCTGAAACTATGAGTATCTTGATTTTTACTGTCATACACAGTACCAAAATATTTATCAACCATATTGACAATATCATTTTTGTTAATAGTAAGTTTTTTCAGTATACTCTACACTAGAAGATAATTTAAGTAACTTGCTTTTGTTGACATTTAGAACTATTAACTATTAATAATAACAATCGCACAATTCGCCTAAATTCTTAAACAGCTTATATGTTGCTTTGTTTATCACATCAATTTTAGAATAAAATAAAACTGAGGAAGTACTACAGCAATGTTTGTATTATTTAGAATTTACTCCAATTAAAAAGTTTTAAGGATCTTTAAATAGAATATGGTATCAATAAATAGATATTTAATAAGTTGTATAGTTATGGTACTTACTCATAGACAATACATTCCTTGATACATATAAAACTACTTTTGGAATGTTTGTAGAACTCACTGATAATAGTCTCGTCTGGAGCCAAAATCGTCACATTCTCAATCCAACCTAACGCACTTAACAACTTTACTGCAGTTTTTATCAAAAAGCCGTACTGGTGTGGTACTGGAATTGTTCTCAAATCTAACAAATCACCAAACTTGACCAGTCTATCGTTTAACTTTTTTTCTGTAACAAGACCAAGTATAAATGTCTCGTTTTGATTATACAAGTCGAACACACATTTAAAATACTCAGCTTCTGTGCATATCTCGAAAACTTTCAGCCCTAACTTCATAGGAGCTAGATATTCCAGAAAGTTTACCCTGTCGGTCGTCCATACTGCCGTGGAAACCAAAGATTGTTTTCTATAAGGAATCACTTCACTTTCGTTCCTGCAATCTTCAACCAAAACAGCGATTGCCGGGTCCCCTTCCACCTCTAACACCGCTGTACTTTGAGTTTCCGAGAAAATAAAAAGGACGAAAATATATCCGAGATGCATATTACCGGGTCATATACACTGTGACCGAGGACGGTGATATAATAATAAAAAATTCAGCTTCCTCTTCAAGCTTCAGTGCATCGTTATTTCCAAACAAAACATATTTTTGAAGGACTGACGCGTGTAGCGTGGTGTTGGTTTATTCTAGGTAAAACACATACTGTTTTACCCTAGTTCGTGTAACGGCGTGATGAGTCAGTATATTGCTAGGAAACAATCAATACAAATATTTTTAAAGTGTACAGGTACTAAGATGTGTATGGAAATAGAAACTGATCGATTTTGCTGAATTCCGAATTCGTTTTATGGGAATTAAAAGCGAAGAAGCTCTACAAACTAAACTTGTTAGCCGATAACTTTTTATACACTGAAAAACCTTTCAATATTATTAAAACTAAATATATCTTCAGTTAATCTTCTAGAATCCAGAAACATTCAGTTATACACTTAATCATTTCTATGATCTATCTTTATCTATGACAAATTAATAATCAATAATAGTTCTAAACAGTATTCCTGCTAAATAATTATTTATATTTACTTTAAAACGAATCGAAGTAACTGGATTATCATAAAACTGAATATTAATATGTTACGTATCATAGAAAATGTTCTCAACAGTAGGAAAGACAGTTTTATAAAAGACAGTTAGATTTAATTTCACGTATCTGAATTTTGCTTTCGAATACATAGAAATCTTCGGATTTCTAATTTTTGTTTTATTTTCAGATGGCGCCATATGCGTCTGTATAAAATTATTTTATTATTACTTGCTTTGATGGAAAATATTTGAATTCACGCTTCTACCCAGGCTCTCTGATGAGCCCTGCTACAATGAAATACGGATAAGCGAATTATAGAGACCTAAAATACCTCATGAAGACACTTTAATTCTAATGGGTGACTTTAATGCGCAAATCGGAAATGAAATAGTTCCAGGAGTAAAACAAAGATTTTATGAAAACCATGCAGTATTTTCGAAACTGCTGACCGAAACAATTCGTTGTTGCTACAGCTATACCATTCCCGTAGATTCTTTAGCCAGGAGTTTCGTCTTCTTCCTATGGATCTTTTTCCTGCTATTTTCCCCTGCATAATTATTCGAAGCAGTTCATATCTTTCGCCTCTTGTAATGTGTCCCAAGTATTGCAGTTTTCGTTTTTTGATCGTAAAATATGACTTCCTTTTGTTTATTCATTCTTCTCAAGACCTCGACATTTGTGACTCTCTCGGTCCATGATATTCTCAAGATTCTGCGATACATCCACAGTTCAAATGCCTCTAATTTTTTGGTATCAATATTTTTCAACGTCCATGACTCCATTCCGTAGAACAGCACAAGAAGTACGATAACATATCATCAGTCGAAGTTTCATTTCAAAGGCTCAAATTCTCTTCCGCAGAACACTCTCTTCATTTTAGTGAATATGGATCTGGCTTTTTCTATTCTTATTTTGATTTCTGCTGAGCTATCGTTGTGCTTCATTTTAAAAAGTGCCTAAATATTTGTATTTGCTAACTCGAATCGATCATTTCATTGTGGTAAATATAAATTTGGACATTTTGTGTTGATTTCGATATATATTTCGATATATAAAGCAGCAATTAGATCTATATTAACATACATGGGGGAGACAAGACCTGACACATCTAAAACGAGACGATTACTAGGAATAACAGAGATGGAAATACGAATATCAGGAAAAAGTCTGTTGAATAGGGAGAAAATCGAAAACATAATAAGAGCATGCAATATAAAAGACCTAAATGGATGGGTGACAAAACGGAAATAGGAGTGGAACGAACACTGAACATGGACTTAGAAGTATTGGCAGACCAAGAAAAAGATGGTGCGATAATTTAAACAACTTAGGAGGTTAATATTGAAGAAGAAACAGGCTTTAAAGCCTACACACAATAAGAAAGAAGAAGAAGAATTATAGAGACACTTTACGTGAAATCGAATCTTAACTGTCTTTTCTATATCTTTATTTACTGGTATTTGAGTATAAGAAACCAGTTCTTGTCTAGACGAATCGATATGTCATGGAACACAATCTTAGATTTTCTTGTCGGCCATTGATCTTCTGCTTGCTTTGACAATTGTAGAAGGCACATATTTAGGCAAAAATCTGAATTTTGAGTTAGAACACCTAGAAATCTTGGAATTTCTACTTTTTGTTTTTACCTTCAATAAGATTAAATTACTGTTATACGAGAAATTCCTAACTTGTGTAATGTAAGCTTTTAGAAAAAAATATAAATAAACGTTTATTTTGATGTCAGGAAGAAAATAACCAACTAATTAATAAACAATAGATTTCGTCCCTTAAAATCGATAATCGACAATTAAATAGATATATCAACACATAATAATAATGCTATAATAAAAAAATATATTGCAATTCATTTCGACCTGCACAAAACATTTGATCACGTGACTTGGCATCATAGATAATATTAACCCGATAATCATTGGACAGAAAAAATTTCTTCTAGTTAAAAATTTCAAGGTAAAAGTAAACTATCTTCTATCTAATGCAAGATATAAAAAAATAGCACACTTTAAGGCTCGATAATCAGCCCAACGCTTTTCCTTAAAGCTATTAACGATATAACCAAATCAATGAATAAACCCATTCATGCACGGTTGAAGGTCCGCGTAGGATCTTATAACCTTCTTAAAGTGAATCAATATAGAGAGTATGGCCAAATTACTGCAAGATCAATTTGATAAATTTATAGTCTGGTCTAAAAGGAGTGGTTTTTCAATTTGCTTCATCTAAAACTGGCTGCATCATATTCTCAAACAGACAGACAAATAATTTAATATCTAGGTTTAATATGTGATCAAGCTGTTACCTGAAAGGACCACATCAAAAATATTTCAGCAATATCAAAAATACTAAAACTCTTGAAATGTCTTTTTGGTACTAACTGAGCGGACAGTAGAACACTATTCATTTTATATAAAAATCTAATCCGTTCAAATATCGATTATGGACGCCATGCTTACTGGTCTGCTTTAAAAGCAACTTTAAAGTTTTAGACACCATTGAAAATAACGCTCTTAGAATAGTATGCGGTGCATTTAGAATTACTCTTATCATAAGTCTTCATACCGAACTCAGTGAAATGCCATTATATTTAAGAAGACAGGAATTAATAGTTTCACATGCAATAAAGCGGTACTCTTTACAATGTCACCAAACCATTCGCTCCGTAAATAATCAGCACGCAAAAACCCACATCCCCTTTTATCAAAGATTCAGACGAATTCGATAACATAGAACTTAGAAAATTGAAAAACTGAAAACAAAACATTTTCGGAATCCATATTCCATCATCAGTGTCCTAAAAAGTTAGATATACATGTATTGAGCCACTAAATATGTGGGTAAAAACCCGTTAAAAATGGTTTGTTTAAATTTAGATTACATTATATGGTATTGATTACTGTGATGTTAAAGTTACCAGTGGATTTGGTAACATGGCGACGCATGACTCCACATGAAGTTGCTGGTCCTGAGACGGTGTGTCTATAGGACTTGATGAAATCAACTGAATGACTTGCTTTCATCCTTGTCTTACTCTACGATTTATAGGTATTTCTTTTGATTTTTGTTGGTCTATTCGTAACTAAGGCTTTCTGATGTCGGTATAGATTGGCAATGATTCATATGTCTTCGTCATCTAATTCTGTGTTCTGCAGTATTCTTGCCATTCTTCGGTGTTGTACTTTGTCGAAAGCTTTTTGGAATTCGACTAGACATATGAATAGGTCGCAATTGACATCTCGACATCGTTCGATTAGTGTTTGTACAGTAAATAATGCTTCTCGGGTACCAAACCCTTTTCTGAATCCCGAATTGGTTTTCAGCTATTCTATCATCTAGCTTTTTATAGATACGTTCGTGTATGACTCGTAAGAACACTTTTAGAATATGGTCCATCAAGCTAATTGTCCTGTGTTCTTCACACTTCATTGCGTTTGATTTTTTGGGTATTGGAATGAATAGTATTCTTAACCATTATTTCGGAATCTCTCTCCGTATAATAAATGTCATTAAATAATTCTATTAGTGTGCCCATATGATTTTTTGTTAATATTCTTAAGATTTTTGTAGGTATTTCATCTGGTCCCATGGTCTTCTCATTTTTTATACGATTTAGCGCTTTCTCAATTTCGTCTTTGGCGATTGGGGGCCCATATCTTCCTCTTGTTTCAATGATCTCAATTTTCTCGTTTTCTTCGAATAGCTCTTTTATATAATTCTTCGCATCTGTTTATTTTATTACTCGTTATTATCTTGTTTTTTTATCCATAATATTTCCGATACCCTTCTTGTATATGCCAGCTGTCTCTTTGATTTTCCGGTGTATGTTAAAACTGTCATGTTGTTTATCTAACCTTTCTATTGCTTCACACTTTTCTGATAGCCACAGTTCCTTAGCTTCTTTGATTTTCCGTTTGATTATTTTATTACTTTTTTTGTACTATTGTTCGTTTTTATTCTTGTCTGCCCTTCTTTTTGTCATCAGTTCTTTTATCTCTTGTGTGATCCATTATTTATTTTTAGATAATGTGTATTAGTAAAGTTTTTGTTTTGTGATATTCCTCAAGATCTTGTCTACTTTCCTTCATTTATCTGTTTCTGTTAATTGCTTTTGCCTTTCTAATTCCTAACTTCTTTGTGTACTTGTTCTTTTTTTTTGTTGGTATATATCAGTTTCTTTTAGTTTTCTCAGACTGATTCTCAGTATTTTGGCAGTTGCTTTTAACTTTTTTAACTTTAGTTTCATGTTTGCTAGAAATAGATTGTGGTCACTTGGTACATCTGCTCCAGGCTATGCTTTAGCCAATATTATGGCATTTCGTATTGGAAATATATGTTGCCGCTCGAGATTAGTAGAAAGACAAACTATAAACATCTTTAAAATTACAGAGAAAATGGACAAGTGTAGTGTTTTCTAAGTGTAGAAATTCAAGTTGGTGTATC